GATTCAGTTTGGTTTAGTAGCAAGAGGGGGACTTTTAATAGCTCTGTAGTATACCAGGGCTGCTTTGAATGAGTAGACAGCTTTTTTAACATATCCCTTACGTTAGAACATTCTGTTAGGTTTTACTGGTCTTGTTCTTACTGTTCATGATAGAAGACTATTATCAGTCTTCTTTTGTGTACATTTTTTACAGATGTTAGGAGGCATCCAAAGCTTTATTTGACATAGAAATTTGACAGCAGCAGATGAGGTTTGATAGTAATGAACGGAAGAATCCTTGTAAGCACTCTGACAGTGAGTTTAATATTATACCATTTTCAGCATTGTAGGCTTTTTGTTAGGGTGTGATTTTGCTATTTGGGTTTATGGGGTTGTTCAGGGTTTTTTTTCATTCTTTCTGCAAAATACTAACAGGCCTTAAAAATGTGGGGAACTAAGTAACACTTGGTACAGTGTAAACAGGGAGAAGAGCAGCCAATGGCTCTTTGAAGGATTCCAGTTGTCTTCTAACAGAGAGAACATTTTGCCTCTACTGGAGGGTGAAAGTAGCAGCTGTCTGGATAGGACAGGATTTATTTGCATGTCAGCTACTGTTTAACACACTGTTTCTTAGAGTTTTGTTAGTGCCACCCTTTGATTTACCTTGAATTTGTCTGTGTTCATTTAATCTCCCCAGGTCAAAATACCTTTTACTTCAGCCAAGAAATAGCTAAATGCTTTTGGTCGTATTCTGTGAGTATTGTGTTAACAGTTTTGAGGTATTCTTGCCTAAAAAAAAATCCCCACGGACTTAGTTTTGAGGTTGGCTTTGAGTATAACTTTTGCTGTTCACATTCAAAACACATTTGAAAGGGAGCTATGTGCAGCAGAACACCTGAACTGATGAAATACCGGTGCAAAGGGGTGAAGCAGCTGTGGGAAAGGTGAGTTGAAAGGCAGGTTTTTTGAGTTTGATAACTAATCAAGAAAGATTACATACACCATTTATACCTTTTTAAAAAGCTGAAAATATTGCACAGGCTATTGTGGAAGGTGACCTGGCAAGGGAGTAGCAATGGGTGAGAACAGCAAGAGGTGGCAACAGTGAATGTGGGGGCTTCAGACCAAAGCCACCAAGAGCTTTTGATGTGGTCTCTTCAGCTGGTGTAGAGTCCTTAGAGGCTTCTGGTCTATAAAGAACAAGAGCTTCATCTACTAAACAGATGAAGTTTGCTGTCCTTGGGCAAAAACCAGAATCTGAAAGGGAGATTAGTTGGCTGCCTCCAGTCTGTGACACTGTAAGAGGATTGGATTTGCATATCCAAGGAGCAGTGATTTCTCCTATTACAGCGTGCTAAGGATTTACAACTTAATGTTTGTTGTGTTGCTCTAATTGCCCCTACAATGGTATTTAGCTAAAATTCTATAGGCTGTTTCATGGACTGGAAGGTAAGTATTGCTCATTTATAATGGGCCAAATAGTGAAGTGCTGGTTTTGAATGAATGCTCAAGGTCTATTTACACTTTCAGTGGGAATTCTTCAGTATTTAATCTGGTTCTTTACTACCAAGTATTCTTGAATCTAAAAATTTAAGATTTCTGCTCTGTGGAAAATATATTTACATCCTCATTTCTTACAGAAAGGTTTGTTGACTGTTTATCTTGCTAACAAATAGCTTTCTTCTCCAAGTAAGCAAGCTTTTCTTCAAAGGAATCTAGCAACATTTTGAATGCTAGACCTTCAGGTCCAATAGTTTTATCTTTATGTATGTTTTGGTTTATAGTCATGGAATGGACTGTGTTGGAAAGGCCTGTTAAAGATCATCTTGTTCCAGCTCCTTTGGCACATTTTTCTCTGGATGAGCTTGCTCAAAGGCCCCTCCAGCCTGACCCTGAATGATTCTGGGGATATATGGAATTTTGGAATAATGCAGACTTCTTGCCTTTAGAATAATTTTTCATTTCTCGTGAATTATTTTATCAACAGTTAAGTGGAGCTGCATTAGCATTATAAAGGTCTCTGAGATATATGGTGTTTCAGTTACACTGAATTTCTCAGAAATTAGAGCGCACAGTGCGAGGATGTGCTTTGTGACCTTCTGAGTGGGTACTTGTGTTCCTATATGCACTTGCAGCCACGAACTCTGTTTAAAACCAGGAGTGTTGATGTTACTGTGACTGCTGCATTGCAGTCTGCAGGTGTGAATCAATTCAGTGTGGAGCAAATGATTGTAATAAAATTATTTTAATAATTTTTCCTTACTGGGCTGATGTTGCTGAACGACCCACAGAGCTGGGCAAGCCTCAGCACCGGATGGCAGCATTCGGGAGAGCTGCTGACCTGTGCCCAGAGAATGTGTGAACTGGGTTTGGCCTGTTTTATGAAAATTCTGTTTCAGTGCTACAAGGACCTCTGTCACCTGGTTTGGCCTGTTTTAGGAAAATTCTCTTTCAGTGCTACAAGGACCTCTGTCACCTGAAAAACCATTAAACTCTTAAAAGAATGAGTGTTTCCAACTGGGAGATAAAAGCAGATTACCCTGAAGAAGTTTTCTGGCTTTTGCAATCTCAGAGAGACCAAAAATAAGTTATAATTACTTGCTTAACTTAAGCTCGGGGAAGATACGTGCCTCTCATAAATTTCTCTTACCAACACATATACCTGTCTTTATTGGTAGTTCTTGATAGCTTCCTGAAGAGAACATCTGTGAAGGTTTTTAGTGGTTCGAGACCTGAAGTATTTGGTAATCTGAGTCTCAGCAACATAGCTTGCATGAATTTCATTCATATTCATCCAGGAGAAATAAATATTTTCTGGAATGTGTTTTGTATCTGTGCTTGTGTTGTTTTTTTAACTTCTTAAAAATAAATAATGGGCTGTATTTGGCACCTATCTGTTTATATTATAAACTTTAAGAGGATTTTTTTTAGCCATTAGTTCCTGCACTCAAGAGGCTGCCAGTGATCATGCTTTTCACCTCTTTGGGATAGAGAAATCAGTAAGCAGCTCCTGGCTCAGTACAGAACTGTGTAGTTTAGTACAGTGTGCAGTCTGAATACTCCAAATAACTGCAGTCCCATTGCAAGTTCCCAAGGACTCCCATTGCTTCAAGATGATAGGTTGCCTTGGTGAAACAGCTGTACTGAAACAGAAAGGGATGTAAGGTCCTTGCCTAACACTGGTGACCTCTAGCTTACCAAGCATTCCAGCAAGCCGTGGTGGCATGCATAGGTCCTTATGGCTTTTTTGTACGTCTACACCTGGTTGCAGAGAGTTATATGGTACTTTGAGCTTAGCTTGCAGATGGTCATTGCAGTTACACTGATAACACTTGAAGATCCATTGATACGTGCTGATAAGATGTCCTTAGTGATGATTCAAGAAGTGATCTTACCATTTTTGATAGTTTGACAACAATCTCATTGCACAAAACAGTGTCAGTTCAGTGAACATTCTTCAGCCGTATGTCTTTCTATTACAAAGCCACATGTGGATTTCATTTTTCTCTGTAGAATCTCCTTCAGCACAGTATTGTCAGTTCCAGACAGTGCCATCCATCTCCATAGCAATTTTCCACTTCTGTCTATTCCTAAAGATTAGTCTTGGGTTATTCACAAATGTACAGAAAATAGACGCAAAGGTACTGTTCATTTCCTTAATATTAGTTGTTAGCCATGTGAATGTGACAGATTACACAGAATAAACTACTCTGAGAAAACAGTGAAGCAAGAAAAAATAGGAGGCCAGATTTTTTTCCTCTGAATGCACATTGTCCTATGTGCTCAAATGTCATGTGCTCCAGGTTAAACATTTTCTTTAAGAAGAGTGACTTTTGCATCCTGGATTTAAAATATTGTTTTCATTTTTGCATGTTATAAAATAAAGCTTCATCTGAAATAAGAGAGGGAGAGTTCTTTATAGAGAGTTTATCCCGAACCAAAGGCTGCTTCTGAATATGTGACATGTAAACTGGTGTGTGGCTGACAGATGAGTTTGAATATAAAAATGTTATATTCAGTTCTTTCTTTATAATGAATGAAATCAGAAATGTGTTTTCAAACTTTGAAACTCATTACAAAATCCTTACCTCTTTTCTCCCCATTACTCATGATTTTTTGTCATTTTATGTATGTGTTCTGTAGGACTTAAATGTGTAAACCTAGAAGGAGGAGGAATATCTAACAGTAAAGGGATGTTTTTAAACTAGTAAATTTGAGAGTACTGCTCTTATTACTTTAAATTGTTTTTGTATTGTAAAGAATGATCAGGAAGTTTCACGTATGTTTAAAAAAAGCTGCAACAAAGTTAGTTACTTTAATAAGAAAAAGGCATGCATGAATTATTTAAAATAGTTGGTGCAACTGTTTCTATTAACTAATCCAAGCACTTGGAAGGCAATTACACTCAGCTTTGACAACATTGCCAATCCACTGCACTGTGCCTTGTGCCAGAAGCTATTGTTGTTTTATTGACCACGTTCAACATTACATATGCATATGAAAAAACAGAGGCATTTTCATCGGGATTACCCTAATAGCATTAAGAGATTATTTTTTAAATTTCCTCGGAAGGAAATTCACTTAAATAAGATTACTTATTACTTGACTGGTTTCCTATCATGCTGCTATGTCTAGGTAAGTGGAGTCCTTTAGAGTATAAAGTTTTTTTTAAAACTGATTTTATACATTACTGATTTCACATAAAAGACAAACACTATATTTATGCACAGCTTCTTTTGAGAAAGTTAAGTCGATGTTCTGGGTAGGAGCGATAACGCTCTTTGTCCCTCTTGGTGCCCCCCCTAGTGTCACCATTAGTTGCTAATTACTTGCAAACAAATAAACAATTAACTCCTCGTGCCTCTTGGTGGGAGAGTTTTCATTGACATGCTAAAACTTTCTAATAAAAGATTTTAATTAATGACGTCGCAAACCCAGCCCCCCTGTCAACATAGCTGTAAGGGGGTCTGCTGGAGAAAGGCGAGTACAGTACGCGCGCTGTGCTGGCTGCGGGCGAGAGCATGGCGGGTCCATCGCTCTGTGCTGCTCACACAGCAGCCGCCCAGAATCTTCGGAAAGGGTCTAGTTTTGTAGAGAATAAAACCACACAGTGCTCGTTCTCCATTGAAAGTATTTTGGGACTGGAGCAGAAAAAAGATGGCATTCCAGTTGTGAAACCTCACAGACCATGGATGGATGCATGCACCAGCTTGGGTAAGTCAGCAGTCTCTTTTGTAACCTCTCAAGCTTTTACTCCTTTAAAAGTATACAGACTTTCATGTTTCTACTGAAAATCAGTAAAGTGAAACTTTCGTTTGCTTGCTTTTTCTAGTTTTAGGTGATGACAGTAATCCCCATCTGCAAATTCCTGTTGTTTGCTATGAAAATCCATTATTTCATGCCAACAGTCATCCAGTGCAAGAGGAAAAGCTTTTGAAATGTGAGAAATATTTTTCAGTCACTGAAAGGCTATCTTTCAAACGAGAATTGAGCTGGTACAGGGGTAGAAGACCAAGAACTGCGTTCACTAGAAACCAGGTAGGGATTTTCTCAGTATTTAATAAATAAATAACAATGCCGTTTAGTAGAATGTTAGTAGAAACCTCTTAACAGCCGACTAATTCAGTGTGGTGTACCTCTGCAGAGAGAGATGTCATCAGGAACTAGTGGAGATTAGCAGTGATGTAGCTAATTTCACCAAACCTGTGTTTATAAGTGGAATCAGAATTGTGCAAACACTGCTTGGAAGTCTCCTGTTGAACAAACTAAACTGCTTTTTGTACTTAGTAAGTATTGCCATGAAGGTAGTCATAACTGTTCAACAAATTTGTTTTAATCTCCTCAGATTGAAGTCTTGGAAAATGTTTTTAAAATTAACTCCTACCCTGGCATTGACATTAGAGAAGAGCTAGCTCACAAGTTAGATTTAGAAGAAGACAGGATTCAGGTAATGAAAAATTTATTTGAACTTTTCTGTAATTTAATCAATATGTACTCTCTGGTTATATAAATAAGTAGTTTGACAGCAGTAGCAATAATTTTACTAATATCAGTTTAAACCAGTCTACATTTATACATGTGGTATGGCTTAAGTAATTTGTGGAATAGAAACCATTGCATTCCTTCTGAAATCTGAAACATTCTTCCCTAGCGTTGGCGATGTATTCATCGCTTATTTCCATGATATCTGCTCTGTTAACATCTAGTTATTGGGTGCAGAACTTGATATTTGCTTTTATGTTTTAAAATAATGTTTGTATTATACTTGTTACCGTATTTGGAAAAGAAATTTGGAACAAATAATGAAATTATTTCTGTGGATGTATGCTCCACTGACAGTCTCACAAAATACTAAGACACGTGTTAAACCAGAGTTTGAGCTTATATCTTCATCTGGCCCAAAGCAAAATCTACTCAGGGATTTTAATTATTGATTTCCTGGTAGTCCAGTGTGCTAAGAAAGATGCCATAAACATTAGAATTTGGGCCTCACCTTGATGTTTATTTGGCTTTTGATGCATGTATTACATTGGGGTTAATGGAAAGCTTGACACTGTAATTCATAAAGCAACTGAATTAAAAACACCTTAAGTCTCATGTGTGAGTTCCAGATGCTCAGCATCTTCCAGGGTCTGATTCAGTGTCACGGAAGTCTTTTAATAATTGCAGTGCAGCTGGTCCTCACTTTCCAGCTAAAATGGGTGTATTACTTTATTCACCTGTGGTGGTAAAATTATTGCAGGTAGCTACATGCCATCATCTGCAGATTTTAAATTTGTATTAAATTCCCAAACTAATGTCATTACACAAAGTACTGTAAAGTTGTCTTAATCTTTTTAAGTTTCAAAGCTTATTCTACTTTCAGTGGTGTATTTCTGAAAAGGATACCTTTTCTTTCCATTTCAGATCTGGTTCCAGAACCGTCGCGCAAAGCTGAAAAGATCACACCGAGAATCTCAGTTTCTAGTGGTGAAAAACACTTTCACCTCCAGCCTGCTAGAGTAGAAAGGATGGATTGCTGTTATCGTACTACAATAGAACATGAAAAGTTATTGGAATTTTCATGACTTGTATTAAATAATTATGGGGTTTATCCTCATATTTGCAAGTTTATAATAATTTTCATTCAAATAAATCGTAAATACTAGAAGTATTATTATAAACTACTTCTTGTGGAAAAAGTGAACTTTACCTATACATTTTAGTAAGGAATTTCAGAAAGGTTTGGATATTTTTAAGTTCAAACCCTGAATTGCACAATATTTTCAAATAGTATGAATTACTGCTGCTTAACTAAAGATGACTTAACAAAGCTTCATTGTTTTTAAAAAAGCTTGAAGTCTGAAATACAGCATATGCAAAACAGATTTGACTACCTGAAACAGACTGGCTATTACACTGGAGTTTAAGTAGTTGATAAATAGTATGATAGCTTTCCTAAAGAACATGATTTTTAGGAAAAGGTATCAGAAATGGTAGGGCTGGTATTAAACTGAACGTTCAGTTTGAACAATTGTTTGGTTAAGAGAAGCTGAAAATCTTGTAAATCTTTTTTATATAATATTTTCGTTAATTAGGATATTTAATACTTCAACTTGAATTTCTCCTTTCTTGTCAGTTGACGTGTTCTGGTTATGGAAGTTGCCCTATTCTAATTACATAATGCAGCATCTTACAGGATGACATTAGCTGCAACCAGACCAAACATCCAGATCATTGCCATTACATTTCAGGAATTGAAGTCACCTTTATCAAACAGTACATGAAAGTTAATTATCCTCGTATTTGATATTCAGCCTGAAGTCAATATGCAGGAGAGCCTTATACAAAAAACCTCAAAACTATTCATGACCATGATATAGGAAGACATTGTAAGTACGGGCTTACAATGTTCCTTCTTCAGCAGAGCTTTAAGCATTTGCTTGAAGTGCTGTTGTCCTTGAATAAGACTTCAGCCTCTGTTTCTTGCTAGAGATACATTTTACATGGGCCCAGCTGTATATATAAAAAAAATAAATAATTTTGTGTTAGGCTGATGATTCAGCAGAAGCACTGACTTCTCAATATTTCAATCTCTAATTCTGATAGTACCCCAAAGAGTGCAGGCAAAAAGCTTTGTTAATTGGGTTTTCCCACTTGTCTGACATGAAAAATGTTTTGTTTTGAACCAAAACTGTACTTATTGTAGTCAAAACTCCAAACTGAATAATGTTATCTCTTTTTAAATAACATAGGGGAAAATTCTGAAAACTAGGTAGAAGAAATTGAGTGCTTAAGACATTCAAATTGTTTTAATCTAATTCAGAGTATAGATCTCAGGATATCTATCCCACAATGAAAGAATGCCCCTGAGCTATGATGTTGATTTCCAGATTTCTTGCTGAAACAGTTTTGCATTATACAAAGTACTTGGATATTCACTGGCAGAAGAATCTGAGCTAGAGTCTTCAATCTACACACCAGATCTACCACCAGGTTCTTTCACAGTCTGATGCTCAGCTTCTACAAAGTTAGTTAGGACACAAGGATGTAGAAGTCAGCATACTGTTGTTAATAAAAATCCATAGATTCTTGTAGTGTTTTAGTAGTGCAGGTACAGGCAGATTGTTCTTCACTTGAACTTTCTCATTTAACAGTAATAAAATGACAATAGATTTTTTTTTTCTGGCATGTTGCTTTCAATCTAGTATAGTCTCTAGAAGAGGTAGATGTTTAAAATTTTAAAGACCTGTCTCTGCTGCTTCCAGACAGTTTCTGATTCCTGTATCTTTTCTAACATCCTCTGCTTTTCCTTCAGTTTGTTTTCTTTCTTAGGACATCTCTATACATTTCAGTTTTTGCAATAGATGATTTAATGTAGTTCTGCTGAATGTTTGCAAGGTAATGTGAAATGTAGTTGGTTTAGGATTTTAGGAGATGACATTATACCTGTTACATCATGAACAAACCTAGTATTGCTTTCTCTTTCTTGATGCTTTTATCCATCAGCTGTCTTATAGAATGAAGGGTAAGTTTGAGAAAAGGGGTGATAAAAAAATCTTAATTTTATGTAGACTCGTATTAGGAAAAGCTGGAGGGAAGGATGATCTGACTTCAGTTCTTAGCTGATCTTTTGGATGATAGTTTGAGATATAAAAATTTAAATTAAAAACCATTTCTGCATTTCCTGAAAAACATTCCTGAGAAGCTGCGTTACTTTAGAACCAGACTACAGGTATTTGCTGTTTTGTGTCTAACTTCACAGGCTCACTGCTTTCATTTTTGTAGAATCTGTAAAATCTAGAATTGCTTCTTTGCTCCTGGAAATTGTATTTTAGTGTGAAAATAGTGAGCTTTTATCCAGTATTGAGATGTTAATTATTCATGCTTTGTTAGATTCAGGAAATAACATTGCTAGCTGAACTTCTGTTTTATCCTGCATTCAAAAACACTTAAGAGAACATGCACAATTAAAGCAGTTTAAATGGAGCCAAATCCATTAGTAATAGTTTCTGGAGGAGTTGGAATCTCAATTCAGATAGGCACCTGATCTGGTAAAGGTGAAGGCAATATTGGGAATGCGTGAGTTCTATTTTGTTTTTCCTCTCACCTCAAAGCGTATTGCCCATAGTTTAACCTTACTGCAGGTAATTTGAAACTATTGTCTGCTTTACTGCTGGAAACAAGGTTTCTAGCAGCAACAGATTAGACTAATCTGTACAGATTGATGCCTAAGAACCTTACTCTGTTATCTGGCAAATACCTAAATACACCTAATATCTCTTATAATGGAACTTGTCTCAAGTGACGGAAGTCTGACAAAGCAATTTAAGGGGGGTAGAATAGTAGCAGAATAATAATAGCGCCAGCCCTGGTATCCAGCTTTCAATTAGCAGATGTTACCAGGAGGATGATTGGAGTAAGGTACTAAGGGTGTGTATAGTTCTGAGGCACAAAAAATTTAACAGTGTAATTGCATTATTTGCTTCATTTTGGTTTAGCTTGTTCTTACCAAAGTATAATGCATCAATCGGTTCAAGGAGAGCCTCTAACTACATTTATACCTACTTGGACTAGCGTGGGTTTAAATTGTGGCTGTTGCTTTCTCAAATACAGCTGATTTTCTCCATCTTAAAAGACATTAGTCTGGATTTAGCAATATTTTCTAAACTTGTGCTTCCTGATAAGATGAAGCTTTCTGGGCTACCTTGGCGATACATGTAATATGCATGTTATCCATCTTGGCACACCCAGTCCAAGTAACAGGAGTGGATGAGACTGTCAGAAGACAAGGCTGTACATACTGAAATTTGGCCCTGCTCCAGTTTTGCATAATTTGCTTTGCAGTGTTTCTGTTTGTCAGCCCTTCGGAACTGTGATCAGAAACGTCTCAGTCTTCTTCATTCCTAGTCTGACTTAAACTTTGTGAAGCCACAACTTATTTTATTTCCAGCTATGTTGCCTTGCATTGGCTCTGGTGATAATTTGATATACTGATAAATTTACCTGTGATAAGCTGATATATTTATGTCTGTAGTGAAAAACAGTTCTAGCAAAAAAAAAAAGGGTAGTGGTAAGACTTCTCACTCTTAATATTGGCAAGGTGTTCTGTCAACTTCCATCAACAGCTACAATTTTAGGCTAGTCAGGTTGATGATGGTCTTCTGTCATTGCCTGTAATGGCACATGAACATCCTAGTAGTGCTTTCCTGAAATAGGACCAGTTCCTGTAACCCCAGTCAGGGCTGGACTGCATGGTTGGTTGTTTTAAACCGATGTTCTCTTAATTAGCATCTCTAATTTATTTTTTTTCTAGCCACAAACTTCAGTAATGCCTAATTTTTTGGTGTCCCAAAAAATGAACTATGCTTATGGTCTTAAAGCAGATTCAAATTAATTTGTACCAAAATAGCCAATGTTTCCAAAGTTCCATTGTAATAGCATTACTAGCAGCATACCTAAAAGGAAAGGTTGAAACTTAGTCTTGAAGTTACCAACTTTAGTGTTGAAAGCCCAGATTTAGAACACATCTCATTCAATTGCCATTTAAAACTTTGAATTTGCGATTACTTAATCAAGTCTGTGCTTACAAGTAGCAAGCTTGCAAACCAGCAAGTGCTATGGTATAATTTTCCTGGTGTGCATGGGTAAAACTAAGTTTTCCTAGTTGTTCAAAGTTTTGTATTTAAAATAATTCGAAAGCAATGAAATCCAGAAGGTTTTTTTTATAGCTGTCTGTAAGAACATGAACGCTGTGTTTGTAACATTCTTAAAAGGATGTGTGGCTTTAAAAGTCATCCAGCTTTTATGTGTTGGGATTTAACAAAAGACTTGCACAAAAGTAGCATAAATCATTTGCAAACACCTTCAGTTTATTTAACTATTATTATTAAACTAATTTTAAACAGCTGAAATTAACTCTCAAGGTTACTAGATCATAAAATCAATGCTTTTGGGAAATGAGTTGTAAAATAACTTTTTGGGTTTGATTCCTTGGGTTGACTTAGTTTTGCTATCACTTGTTAGGTTGATGTTTTTATCCCTTCATTTTAAAGGACTTCATGTTGCATAATTGGATGGGAAATACAAGAACTTTTATTTTCCGAGACACTTTTGAACAGTGGTGATTATTATGTGTCCTGTTTTTGATGTCATGGATTCATCTTGGCTCAAAATCGTAGTCTCTTTTATTGGAGCTGTTTAGAATATCTCATACTTAGGTGATAATGAAACAGTAAAAATACAAAGTGGTAATGATCGTTATGTGAGGGGGAGCTGGGGCTGTTCAGCATTTTGCAGGGAAGGATCCCATCTGATTGCATTACAAAGGAAGTTCATGCGGTCATAGTGGGCCAACAGGATTGTTAGTGAGGGAGAGGAATCTAGGGCTGCTGAAAAGCCATCTGTTCTAGAAGCCTTTGTACCAGAACAGTTGCTTGATTTGCATCGAATGAAGGCAAAAGGGTTAGACAGAATGTGGAAGACCTGTCTGATTTGGGCACCCAAAGCTGATATTGGCATGATGA